GGTGGCTGGGAGCAGCCACTGCACTCCAGTGTGGGCGACAGAGTGAGACTCCAACTTAAACGGAAAAAAAAATTACTGGACTTTTTCTTAAGTCAGGACCTCACTCTATCACCCAGTCTGGAGTGCAGTGGCATGATCACAGCTCACCACAGCCTCCAGCTCCTGGGCTCAGGTGATCCTTCAGCCTCAGCCTCCCAAGTAGCTGGGACTACAGGCTCATGCCACCACGCCCAGCTAATTTTTTTATTTTTTTGTAGAGATGAGGTCTCGCTATGTTGCCCAGGCTGGTCTTGAACTCCTGGCCTCAAATGATCCTCCTGCCTCGCCCTCCCAAAGTGCTGGGATTACAGGCGTGAGCCACTGCACCCAGTCAAAAATTACTGAACTTATAAATACAACATGCTTAGTATGTTGAACTCACAAATTAAGAAAAAAACAGATTTTTAAAAATGTATTCATTAAAGAAATAAAATTTTTTTTTAACGTAACCGCCAATAACCTTTTCTCGCACAAAGGCAGTCCTTGAGGACGTCACCAACTACAACACAAGAGGAATTAGAGTCACAGACCTTGGCACTGCCCTGGTGGGAAAGGCCTGGTCCTATGACTGCATCGCAGCGCCCGATCTCAACGAGCCCTTCCTTCTAGACTGTCTGCCCAAAGCACCCCATTCCAATGATGGGGAGACTGAGGTCCAGAGAAGAAAAGCAGCACAGCCACACGGCGAATTTGGGGCAGGACCAGGATAAAACCCCAGGCGTCCTGACCTCATCCCCACCTCCCCGGTCAAGGGTTTCTCGTTCATTCTCTCTGCCCCTTCCTCCCCAGTTGGCTAAGAGAAAACTGAGGCAGAGAATGAGAAGACCCTGAACCCAGGCCTCGGGGAGCACCAGCAGAGAACTGGAGGCCCCGGGTCTCTCAACCTTGATCATCCAACAACACAGACCAAGACCTGGCGAGAGGCCAGCCCCAAACTCAGGCCACCTGAGCATAGAAACAGCTGTGGGAGGCCCAGGCTAGAGAGAGCCTCGTGCTGGGCCTGGAACAGGGAAGTGGGGCAAGGGTCAGAGGACTACGGCCAGGTTGGGCAGGGCCCAGGAGGGCAGGACTCCATCAGCCTACAGTCTCGGGGCAGAGCCAGGCAGCCCCAGACCAGACGCAGCTCTCGGGGTGAAGGCGTGGGACTCCCACCCGGGCCTCCCTCTCCTGCCTCCCTTTCCTCCGTCTCCAATGTCTTTTCTTCCTTTTTTATTTTCTCTGTTTAGAGGCCGTAATCTTGTTTCCTCAACATGGCAGGCCTGACACAGACCCCCCCAGACACGATGTGGGTCAACCTTGCCATCCGAGGGCTGGGTCCTGCTGGGGTTTGGTGTGCCAAGCCGGGGCGGCCCAGGGACAGCGGTGCAGGGTCCCTCACACCAGCCCTGGATGTGGGGAGGGGGAGCTGCTTGTGGATACAGTGTTCCTTCCTTCCTCCTGGAAAGCCCTTCCTGCCAGGCCCTACCTCTCAGTACACCCCTGGCGTCCCTTAAGTGTTTACAGAACCTGCGTTTAACGCCATGAAATTGCATCGGGAAGAAGCGAATTCCTACTCACTGAGCATTTGGGGTCTTCTGCAGTCAGGAAGAGAATAACCGTGGGAGCCAAGAGGCCTGTGTCCTCTCCCCCAACTTCCCCTCCTCAGAGAGAGTGGGCTCAGGCCTCATGTGCTTTTCACTATCTCACTCTGTTGCCCAGGCTGGAATGCAGTGGCACGATCAAGGCTCATCACAACCTCGACCTCCCGGGCTCGGGCGATCCTTCTGCCTTGGCCTCCCAGGTGCCTGGGACTACAGGCGCACACCACCCCACCCAGCTAATTTTTAAATTTTTTTTGTAGAGATGTGATCTTGCTACATTGCCCAGGCTGGTCTGGAACGTCTGGGCTCAAGTAATCCTTTCACCTTGGCCTCCCAAAGCGGAGGGATTACGGGCGTGAACCATGGCACCCAGCCTGTCCTCACTTTTGGCTGGAGCGTATCAGAAACTGGGTTTTGCCACCATTTATTTTATGCTTCCCTTTACCCTTTACTAATGGCAAATGATATTGATTTTCCATTTAAAACAGTGACGCCGTTTCCTTTCCAAGCTGAACTTGTGTTAAGAACAAGTGAGTAAACCAAATATCAACACAGTTTCAAAACTCTGGAGCAGGTAATGGGACCCTCATGGAGCAGGCGGGGCAGGAGCTGTGGCGACCAGAGCCAAGGACCGCGGAAGCTCCAGAGTCCCTTTGTTGAACCTCCCCGCACTTGGCCTGGGCCCCTGGGTTCCTGCCTCCCTTGGGAGTGCCGTTCAAGGCCGTTTCTCAGCCCGCCGCTGGGCCAGTCTGCCCACCTCTCAGGCACACGCAGTACCCACCTCAGTCCTTGGCCCTCATGCCCGTGGGGAGGCTGAGGAGGGAGTGGGTCTGAATCCCTATGGGGGGAGGCAAACGGGCACCCCACAAGACTTTCGGACCAGACTTACTCCCCAGCCTGTGCTGGGCGCAGGGGGCAGAGCCCAGGGGCCACGCTGGAGGCCAGAAAGGAGGGGCCGCTCTCGGATACCAAGTCTCAGCTCAGGGGCAGGGGGCAGCTGAGCTTCCAGGGCTTTGGAAACTCCTGCAGATCACGGAGCCAAAGCTAGGGCTGGCCTGCACAAAGCTGAGAGCGCACGAATGCCCGCTCCAGAGCCAGGTGGCTTCCCTGAGCCCGTAGGAGGTGGGGACTCGGGGGGCTCGGAGCATGTAGATGGAGGCGGAGGAGAAGCGCCCACAAGGCTCCCCACATGCACCCAGTCCTCTGAGCCAGTTCGATGTCCCCCCCGACTGGGTCTTCCTGAGTCTCCCTCGCCCCAAACTGAAAGTACTTGGCTTCCCCCATGCAGGACGGACCCAGACTCTCCTAGCCCAGAATTCTGGCTTCCACCAGTCTCCCCACCCCCAAAATGCGAGGGCAGGGTCTCTTGCATCTCGAAGTCCCTGCAAGTGTCTGGGCCCCACAGCCCAGTACCCCAAGCCTTCTGGCCACCCGATCCCCTGGCCGAGGAGGCGACGGTGTCATGGCACCTGGGGGCAGGTCAGGGGATGGGGGAAGCCCTTCCTGGTCACTCGTGCCCTAAAAGTACTCCAACCGGTGTGCGAAGCCTCCAGTGCCCGAATGTCCTGCAGCCCCCTAGGCTCCACTGAGCTCTGTGGCTGGGACTGATCTGCGGGTGGGAGAAGCCTGAGCCTCCGCTGTGGCCTTGGAAATACGCTCATCAGAGACTCTGCCTCTCTGGAAGGTGAACGGTTCCTTCCTGAGAGTCGGCAAGAAATAGGAAGCTGGGGAGTTCCTGAGCCCAAGGGTGGGAAGTGCGCCTCCCCGCCTCAGACCCCAGGGACCCATGTTGAGGCATAAAGCAAGCTGCCTGCACCTTGGCCTCCCAGGAGGCCTCTCAGGGCCTCCTTGACGGACCCTGCACCCTCTCAAGGTCCGGACGCTGGAGCTCCCTGGCGCCTGAGTCTAGTCATGGCTAAAAGACTCCAGAGAGGTCCCCACGAGGAAACGACCAGAAAGGGGCCTGGGAGGGCAGGACCCAGGTCCTCCTGCCACTTGGGCCGGAGGGGAGGGTAAGGGGCTACCTGAGAGGGCCGCTGTCAGCAAGCCGGCGAGCACGAAGAGTGGTCGCATGTCTGGGGTCATCTCCGACGGCTACGCATGCCGGCCAGTGGGAAGCACCATCCTGGGGGGCAGGTGGACACGACCGCCGTGTGCCCCTCTCGCCCGCCCTGCCCTTGGCTGTTCCTGCTGGTAGATGTCTCTCTGCTGCTGTCTCTCACACGCATGCGACAGAGCCAGCCTGTGAGTGTCTCTCACGCCTCCCTGATCTACTTGTGGTTTTGGTCTCCAGGAAGCTGGGTTGGCGGTACAGGGCCTGGTGGGGAGAGCCCCAGCTGCGACTGCTGGGAGCCCACCAAGCCTGGTTGTACCCTGAGCATCACGGACCCTGCCGTACACAGACACACTTCTTCAAGGGTCTTCTAAACGTGCCTCTTGTCAAAATGGAGAACGGACACATCGTACATGCTCAGTCAATGCGTGCTGGAAGACTGAGTGAATGGCCCACCCACCCTCTGCCCCCTCCACGGCGTCAGCTCTCATGGGATTAAATTCCAAACCTGGGCAGGGAGTGGTGGCCCACGCCTGTGGTCCTAGCACCTTGGGAGGCCAAGGTGGGAGAATCGTTTGAGCCCAGAAATTCGAGATTAACCTGGGCAACATAGTAAGACCTCGTCTCTGCAGAAAATCAAAAAATTAGCCGGGCATGGGGGTGATCACCTTCGGTCCAAGTTACTTGGAAGGCTAAGGCAGAAGGATTGCCTGAGCCCAGGAGGTCAAGGCTGTGGGGAGCTGTGATTGTGCCACTGCACTCCAGCCTGGACAACAGAGTGAGACCCAGACTCAGAAAAATAATAATTTATTAAAAGAGAAATTTTGGCCGGGCGTGGTGACTCAGTCTGTAATCCCAGCACTTTGGAAGGCCGAGGCGAGAGGATTGCCTGAACCTAGGGGTTCAAGACCAGCCTGGGCAACTTGGTGAGACCTCTTGTTTCTACAATAAATCATAAAAACTAGCCGGATGTAGTGGCATATGTGTGTAGTTCCAGCTACTCGGAGGCGGAAGGATCACCCAAGCCCAGCAGGTCGAGACTGCGGTGGTCGGGAGCGGCCACTGCACTCCAGCCTGGGCGAAGGAGTGAGACTCCAACTCAAAAAAAAAAAAATTCTCAAGGTTGACCTTGACCTTGGGTGCAGTGACATCTGGAAAGAAGAAGGGTGTGGTCCAGACGTGCTTTTGAGAGGAGAGAGCCCAAGCTCCCCACTGAGAAACAACCTGGGACGTGCCGGAGAGGTGGCGGTCTCACAAGCCCTTCCATGGAGAAGAGAGCTGCGGCCCCAGTGAGAGCCGCCCCCCCGAGATGGCACAGAGGGGTCAGCTCCCCGCACCTCTGGGTAGGGGTGGGGCGTTCCTCTGTGGGAGCTGGGCCTGGGAGCTGAGCCCACCGGACGAGCAGGATTTCAACAGGTGGCAACGGTGGGGTGGGAGGCCTCTGGGCCCGAAAGCCCCAGCAAAAGCCGAGGGTCAAGGAAGGAAGCCCCAGGCTGCCCGTTGCCCTGAGTGGATCGACGCTACCGGAAAAAAGCAGGGACCACCCGTGTTTCATCCCCCTCTGTTCTCCCTGTGGAGCATACAGTAGGTGCCAAATAGATGCTTGTTGCACGAACACAAAAATAGATGATTTGGTGGTCCAGGCAGAACCCTGGAAGCGGCTGACGGCAGAAGGAGACGGATTCCAAATCCTCTCCCGCCCCCCACGGCCCCGTCCCGGGTCCACC